ATCACCAAAATGTTCCGTTATTGCACCCAAATGCAATGTGAGTTGCTGCTGTGACTGAATAAATAAATTTTTAGTTATCATATTTGTTCTTTAATATCCATTCGATTTTGCAATGAAAAACACTGATTTGCTGCTGATTGATGACAGATTATTTCTCATCAACGAATGGTCTATTGAATGCATTCAGAATAAGGTAGATTATGTTATGGTCGATTACTTATACAAATTTATGTTGATGTCAAATATTTTAAGGATCTCGAAGTGTTGATAATTGGTGCCGGGATTAGTGGGTTGGGTGCAGCTCGTCAGTTGCGTTCATTTGGTGCGAATGTCAAAATACTCGAAGCAAAAAGTAAAATTGGCGGTCGTCTTGTGGTTTGTGTCATTAATTTTCACATTATCGTTGCCACTTTCAGTCAATTGATTGAATTTGTTTACACCTCTCACCTTCACCTCATTCATCTTTCGTTTATAATTTACACTTGCCATTCGTTTCCTGATTGCCTTTTGGAACTTGCTGAAAGTCAAAATGAATTCAAAATCAACTTGCGGAAATTCTTAAAGGATGATTGGTCATTGGGCGTTGCCGTTGGGTGTGGTGCACAGTTGATCACTGGAATTATGAACAATCCGATTGTGTTGATGTGTGAACAGGTAATTGCTGATTTGCCGTCACTTTTTCATTCTTTTCAGCTGAACCGTTTAAAACCTTAATTGCAGTTATTTCACTCGAATTTCTTTATAATTTTTATGTGGAGTTGTCGTTGCATTAGATATGAGAAGAAATGAATAAATTTGAGGTGGATGTGAAGTATCGTTCAGTGACCGATGAATGTCCGTTGCTGGATGCGGGCACTGGTAAAAGAGCGAATCCACTTTGCGATAGACTCGTTGACGAACACTTCAATTGTCTTCTGGATGCGTTGGCTGATTGGAAACACAAAACTAAAGGATCTGATCTCAGTTTAAATGGTCTAGCATTTGCATCCATTCGTTTATTATTTTTAATGCTATTAATTATAGTTCACTGCTCGTATCCAGCATAAGCTCGACTTGATCTTGAAATTTTACGGA